TAATCAGGAGGTCGTGGGTTCGAGTCCCACTTGTGGGTTTTCTCACAAGCCTTGGAGTTTAAAACTGAGTATACAGTGTTGCAATACATGTCTGGCAGGTCAAAAATCCAAAATTAGTCAGTGTTTCGTTGTCGATCCTTCTGGTTGCTGCCATGGCCATGGCCATGGCCAACGGCCTCGAGTTGCAAAATCTCTTCCCGAGTGTATTCTGGTTCAAACTGATAAGGCAATATTCCTTGTGCCTCATCAGCTCCTTCAATGTTGCTTTCTTCGTCAAATGAATAAGACATGATCGGAAAAAGCATCATTGCTGGAATTATTGTTGCTTGAGTCTGACATGATAGCACATGCTAATGCTACTGCATTACGTACATGTTGATGCATCATTACGCAACAGTAAACGTTTGCCGGATAAAGGACTCTGTCCTATGACATCATAATTCTTGGGAATTTCTTCTGGCAACTTTTGGACCTGACAGCTGTTGTTTAACTTTTGCTACGAGAAGGGAGTGAAATAGGGTCGTGAAAACTATAATTTTTAACATTTCTGTGCATTTGGAATTATGCAGATGTGTTTTCTTGTTATATGTATGTTTGTTTTATGTGTTGATGCGTTTTACAAGAAATCTTCCCAGCACAGCCCATCCCCTTTTAGAAATAGGTAGGGCATTCCCCTCCATGTTTAGAACAATGAGCTGCTTCCTATACATGTATACGAAAAAGGAGCCTTGTTTCAGGCACATGATATTCCCCAGTAGGGCGCACAATGCCATTTGATAAGTTTTCTTTATATTTTAAGGGTACCAGGGTATTGGGTATTAAAATAAAACTTGCACCGGTTCCCAAAATGATTATAAATGCACACCTAAATTTTACCATTGCTGTCATTTGATTAACATTTTGCACAAGTTTCCATACATAACCATATGAGTGTCAATAATGCCAATTCAAACCACTTAGCACTACTGATTTTACCATTGGTTACTCAGTTGCAAGCTTTCAACATTGGGTCACCATTAAGCACCATTCAGTCATCAAATTAAACCATACAGATGCCATTTGGTAATGTAACAGAATCCATGAAGGACCCCGATAACAAATGTGGGATCAAAGAAATCACTGAAATGTATGATACTTGGCCAACTTGCCAATCCGCAGAAATCTTTCAGCGTCTTCTTTATTTTCTAAAAAAAAAAAAAAGTAAGCAAAATCAAGTAATCAATCACACAGGAATATGGTTATAGAGATAACAAATTAACTTAACTACAAGTAGTTGCTCCCTGCACCATGCAGGGTGCAGTGACATTAAATATGCTCCTGCACATGCTGGCCATTTTAAATCACACACATGTGAACATGTGAAGACAAACTACCTCAAACCCAAAACCGGCAACGCCCTCCCCCCAGAAATGGACCTGTAACAGAAAAAAATACCCTGGCCACATGCACAAGAGCATAGCAGTCCAGATATAAGGAATGGCTGGAGCGGAGTATCCCAAATTTTTGTCAAAGAAACAAACACAAAAACTTACATACAGAAAAGACACAGGAACATTCCAGTTGTGGATGTTCCCCTGACCGTCCCAGTCAAAGAAGTCCCCAGTGAGAATTTTTACACTCGAGTTTTATAGATAGCCCAATGAATGCCAACAATAAGAGTGTGGCATCCCAAGTCCCAGGAATCTTTGTACAATAGAAGATCATTGAACCAAGGTAGAAGTCCCCAGTAGGCTAATTAAGTTAACAATGAAAGGTGTGGCATGTTGGACTGTTCCATTTAGTGGGACTACACATAGTGGTATAGTCCTACATTTAAATCCAGATCAACTGATATGGAAAGCAAACTACACATATACATGAACATAAAAAATATAACAATTTAAAGTAAAGTCTATAACACACACCAAAAATTAAAATAAAACTTATTTTGTTACAGTAACAAGTAAAGACAGTGGTTTACTGCTGAAACCATTAAGTCGCAATGGTTGCCATAGCTGCCATTGTATACCAATGAGTTTTGTTATGGCAGAAATGAGAACATTATTTTCGTAAAGTTAAGGCAATTCACTGCAAGCATTTTGCATTACTAATGCAAGAAATAAGGATTTGTCACTGATAAAGATTCATGTGGACTGAGATGCAGCCGACATGCATCATGGTAAAATGCTTAAATCTTTTTAATGTCGTATTTGTATGTTCCATGGCAGATACGTCTTGAAGAGGCACCTGTTGAAATACGAGGCCTTGTATCCTGAATCTGCTACCATTATGGGCTACTGTAGAGGTGAAGCAGTATATTCAAGGGACTGCGTTCACACTGTAAGTTTTTATTGACTAGTATTTGCAGGTGGAAATTTGATAAATATGTATGCATTGAGAAGATAAGAAAAGCAAAGGTGCCCTCATCAGAGGAGTTAGAGCTTGTTGTGATGGACCATTGGTAAATGAAACATGGCAAATTCAGCATTTGACCTGTTAAGGTAGAGCATACAGAGCTGGAAATCGCATACTGTTTTTCTTTATTGACCCCTCCCCTGGTGAAACATGAAGTTGTTTTTGTTGTCTGTATTGGTTTTACTAACTGCCAACTACATTTTCTCTTGTTGCCTAACATAATTAATTGCTGAAAGTTTGATAATTGTGCAGAGTCTAACTTATAACCAACATGCAGGGAAAAAAGAAGCACCATGCTTTTGGCTTACACAAACGGTGGTTCAGACTAGACACAAAACATAAGACATGAGACATTTGATATGATGCACTGGCAAGATAGACAACAATAAGACAGATATGCTATCAGTTAAGACCAGACCCTTTAAAGAATGGAAGTAGATTGGCATAATTACATGATCTAAGTTTCATTATACAAACTGATGAGGTAGGTTTTGAGTTTTCTAGTAAATGTATTTGGCTTTGAAAATCTTGTCAGATCTGTATTAAGGTTGTTGCAAAAGGACACACATCATGAGATCAGATATTTTTGGAAACAGAAGTACAGCTATAATTTATATAATAATTGCCTCTAGATTCTAGTTGCATGACGCTCCTTTGATAATATACAGTTGCTTTTTAGCATATTCTTGAGAAACGTCATGAAGAAGTAACTTAAATCAATCCATTTGTGCTGGCTTTGTATTTCTTTGCAATAAATCAGACGGGGAATGTTCTCTCCTCTGCACTTTTCTTACATCCAGATATCATTACTATGTGTTTTTTATCATGCTGAAGTTTCGGGATTTGTTTAGTGTGCTACCTTGTGGTCATTTTGACAGCAGTTTCATAAATGTAAAACATACCATTCTTGTAAAATGTTTATGTTTCAAAATTGGTATAACAAAACTTAACTTGTGCTCCATACATGTGTGGTGCATGAACTTCAAATGATTTCTACAATGAAAACCTTAAGGCAAGACATCAAAAAGATATTTAGTACTTTCCTGCATTCGAATGGGAGGAATGAGGCTTTTCTTTTTCATCTGCCAGTCTGAACATGTTCAAATGGGCTGCATTCTCCCTGTATTTCTGCTTGGCAAGGCTATATTATTATCGGAATTTCAGTCGTATTTTAATTCAGATATGGGTGGAACAGTATCTATGGAATTAACCTTACAACTCAGGGTTCGTAACACACAGTGAGCAAACTTCATTGTAGAATTATTCACAGTCAGCAATAACCTACCTTAATCAGTATCTTCACTGTTGAAATGCCAGTGTAGAAGTACACACTGCTTTGGGCAATACCAGTACATGCATGCCTATCCTATGGTTCCACCCATGGAGAATTGCTGCACAAATTGCCACTGAAAATTTTGAGTGAACACAGGATTCTGAGCTGATCAAGAACAGTCAATTACGAACAGGCAACTTTTTCATGAATATTCAGTAGGTTGGCTATCCTGGGTAAGGTGTGAGGTTGTCTGTGTTAATTTATACGTTACAAGCAGGACACTGCACTTTATGACACAGAACTATAGAATTGAAACTTTGGAGGCAGTGCATTTTTTAGCAGCTAGTTTGTGGTCGTGTGAAGTTTGGTTTTAAATGTCCAGATTGAGTGAAAAATGCTGAATTCTGCACAGTGTCAGCTCATCAGAAGGGAAAACTCTTCATGTTAATGTAGAAAATTTTAATACCTTCCAACCCATTCAAATAGGCTCAAAAGTCAGGAAATTTGGAAAAAATTTGTTATACTCATGGAGAAAACACAAGGCTGTGATCAGGATCCATCAATCAACTTCAATTCAATTTCAATTCATTTTCATTTATTTAATATCATTTGTATCCAACATAGTTATTGAAATACATTGTAATTTGTTGTGGTTTTGCAAGCGTTAAAAACTTGATAATCAAAATATATGTACAGAACAATAATAAACAACACTACAGAAATTCACACCAGAATTACAACAAATAATTTCAGACAGCATATCAGGTAAAATAATGATTGATTAAATAAAATGGGATAAGATAACAATAGAATCTGATGAATCACTGATTAGGACTTTGATTGCAGCTGTACATGTACGTACAATAAGCGAACTGCACTTGGATAAAAACTGTTCAAAATTTGAGTCGAATCTGTAACATTTATCTGATCTCATCCGCTGAAATAAGTCATTCGCAGGATGGAATCCATCTCAAACAATTGACATGCACTTTAAGACCCTTGCCTCATAAAGTTCTTCCATTGCAGGTACATGTAGTTTACAGCCAATTATAGTGCTAGCAGTTGTAACAACCCGATTGAGGCATTTCCGGTCTTCCACCGTGGTGTTCCCGCACCAGACAGCGATTGAGAATGTCAGGACACTCTCAACCACTGTCTGATAGAACTTCACCAGCAGACCTTGGCTGACCCAGAAACTCCTCAGTCTTCTGAGACAAAACAGACGTTGTTGGGCTTTCCTTACCAAGAAATCAACACAGGTTGTCCATTTCAGATAGTTAGTCATATATACGCCTAAAAATCTAAAGGAGTCAACCCTTTCTACCTAATTCGTCATCTAAAATGCAACCACCAAGTGTTGTATCATCTGCGTATTTCACCATAAAATTGTTATCAGAGTGAGTAGCATAATCATGGGTGAACAGTGAGTACAGCATAGTAGTAGCAAAGCCGAACTGTAATCCACAAATAAAAGTCTACAGTAGTTAGGAGTATTCTTGTCGAGGAATTGTGACACTTTAAATACAGACCAAGCTATTGCATCATCAACTGATCTGTTTGCCTTATACCCAAATTGAAAAGGATCCAGTTTGGATGACAGCTGTGACTGAATGAAGCCCTTAACTAAAGATTCCATACATTTCATAACAACTGAGGTCAGAGCTACTGGACGGAAGTCATTAAGGCAAGTAGTTGGCAATCGTTTAGGCACAGGAATGATAATGGATTTTTTAAAAACATGAGGCACATGACTAGTTACCAACTTATGAGATTTGAGCCAATGAGGGCTTAGGCTGTTTCAAAATTATAGACAATTGGAAGACCTCTTACTCTGCTGGCTCTGTTGGGGGAAGTAAGTGCAGTCTGAGGTCACTTTTTCACGGCCCTTTGTGGAAAGCACACTGGGGAAAATTAAACTTGTCAAACTGTATTGTCAGATGGGCGTCCACTTTTGTTTGGCCTATATACACTCGCTTCAACTTGTCTGCCCTTGGCTGCTATAGGGCTCAGACCTAGAGGCCTAACTCAGTGATTTCATCAGCAGTTCAACTGTGCATTCGTCTTCTGGGCTGATTGGAAGACTTCCCTGGATATTAATAGGGCCAAGGCCTATTCCTGTGCCAGGGATTTGCTGGACTGTTTCCATTTCCTCAGTTTGGCAGTGGTCCAGAGGGGTCATCAGTGGGATGGAACCCTTTCCTGGATTTTAGTTCTGTGCCCAGGATTCGTTGCTGGACTGTTTACTGGCTGCCCACAGGCATGACGGGGCCGGGAATCTTCATTTTCAACCTTCTTCATTCAGTCATTGGATTTGACTGGCCTCGGAGCTGTGGCAGTATTTCACAATAGGGCATAAACCTACCCAAGTCGTTCAGTCTTGCCTTCCATGCCTACAGTCATCAATTTTAACATCAATTGACTCAGTCATTACTCTTCAACTTCTGGTTGGGCTATTTTTCTTAACATTTGTGAGGGCAAAGACTACGACTGTTGGTCAGTATGCCCCTACATACCCATTGGAGGCGGCACCCATCAGAGCCAACAAGCGCATCAAACTCAAAATGCCAGTATTCTCTGCCAACATCTACCCTGAGCTATGCTCCAGATGCTTCCATGGGCCCTAGTTTTACCAGTGCTTTGGCAGCTGCATCAGTGGAACTAAGACAATCTGGAAGGCGTAACCTTAGCTGTGCCTACAATTGGTGATTGTAGGCACAGCCGAGATCTTTCATCATGGCCTTGACACTGGCGGTCCATAGGTGTTGCAACACATCCTGGCAGCATATCCATGGATACCCTTAAGCTTCTTACTTTCCTCTTCAGTGAAGGTAGCCCAACCACAAATACCATATTCTAATTTGGGACAAACCAGCGATTGGTAGAGAAGTGACTTAACCTTGCTGCTGTAGGACTTAAAGTTCTGCCAGATGACACCAGTGGTCTGCTTGGTGTTGGTGACAACCTTATTGATATGAGGTGACCAGCTGCAATCCTTGCTAAAAAATAAGACCAAGGTAGGGGTGACTAGATGTGCTTTGAAGCGGTTTACCCATTTGTTTTGTACATGTAGGTGCGAATTTGAGGGTTTCTCTTTAGTGGAATTGAATGTCATTTCCCATTCTTTTTCCCATCTGCAAAGGGCATCTAAATCATTTTGAAGTGAAACAGCATCTGAAGGAGAGTTGATTTCTCTGTACAGTAATCCATCATGAGCAAATAGTCCAGTTTTCGAAGAAACATATTGTAACGTGCTCGACGCGGCCTAAGGTTTCACTGGATTAGGTACGGTGCAGATTGTAGACAGACAGGACGGGACAGAGATGGCACGTATAACTGAAGAAATAATTACCAACACACAATTCTACGGGTTTGAATGATTTATTGTGTCTCTGTTTCTTGGGAACNCCTAACTTCTTTGACATTGGTGGGCGTGGGCCATTCTCTGACCTTCCTAGTTTTCTCAGGATCTGTAGCTACACCTTTTGCCGAAACTACATGGCCAAGATAAGTAACTTTTTCTTGGAAAAGGGCACATTTCTTAGGCTTAAGCTTAAGCCCAGCTACAGTTAACCTAGCAAAGACTTCACTTAATCGTGAGGCATGTTCTTCAAAGGTTTGAGCATAAATCAAAATATCGTCTAAATAAACCAGACATGTTTTCCAGTGCAACCCCGCCAACACCAACTCCATAAGTCTTTCAAACGTACTGGGTGCGTTAGTCAAACCAAAAGGCATAACATTGAATTCATATAAACCCCTTCCAGTACTAAATGCTGTTTTCTGTCTATCATCAGGATTCATTTCTACCTGCCAATAACCACTAGCCAAATCAAGCGAGGAAAACCATGTTGAACCTGATAAAGCATCTAGGCTGTCATCTATTCTTGGCAAGGGATATGCATCCTTCAGACTAACATCATTCAACTTCCTATAATCTATGCATAACAAGAACAATTGGACTTGCCCAGGGACCACTTGAGGGAGAGATGACACCAGATTTCAACATCTCGTCTACCTGGGCTTGAGCCTCAGATTTCTGGTGATGTGGCAATCGTCGTGCTGGTTGCCTAATTGGACGAGCAGTTCCTGTATTAATCTCATGATAAACTAAGTTAGTGCGACCCAATTCGCCAGACTCCGAAAAGGTTTCTCTATGCTGATGGAGTAACTCTTTCAACTTAACCTTTTGATCTTGATTTAATGATTGCGAGCTTTGCTCATACAGTTCTTCTAGAGCAGGGCCCAACTCAACACTACCTGTTGTCGATGTCTCATCAATAATGTCTGCTGGTTGTAACAAAGCAATCTGTGAACCTTTATATAAAATTTTAGCATCAGGTCGCAAATTGAAAATCCGTAGTGGAACCCTACTCTGTATAGAATGTACATAAGTATGAGCGATCAAAATACCATCGTCTTTTGAGACGAAACGGCCAGATGGCTCTACAGCTCCTTGCAAAACACTACCACTTCGTAAATGCAACTCACCAGGCACAACTGCTTCTTGACCTGCTGGTACCGTTACTGTTTCCGCTATAGAAATTCTACAGCATGTCACAG